TAAAAAAAAGAACAGACACACACACACACACACACACACACACACACACACACACACACACACACACACACCATACAGGTAAAGTGGAAGCATCACCAGAACAGTGCTAAGTACCTGCAGCACTAGCTACTTGGATATTGACACAGGAGGATCCCTTGAGCCCAGACGTTCAGGGCCAGCCTGAGCACCATAATGAGACCATGTCTCTTGAAACAATTAAAATAAAATGGAAGCATCTTTACTTGGGTTGGGTTTCAAATTTCATTTCTCCAAATAAACAAGATTCAGGAATATCCTACAACCAGGTTCCCTCCTTCCCTCTCTGCCTCAATCCTTGTCAAAGTAGATGCCTTGACAACTAGAATGCCACTGAAAACCAGGAAATAAAGATCAACCTCATTCTGTAAAAGGAACACACTGGGGGGGGGGTGGCTTTTGAAATCTAGCAAACATGGTCTGGAGTGACAGCTTGGTGGCTAAGAGCACTTGTTGCTCTTGCAGAAGACTTATGTTCAATTCCAAGTATCCATCTGGTTGACCATAGCCATCCATAACTCCAGATCCAAGGGATCTTTTCTGGCCTCCATGAACACTGCACACACATGTATGCATAAACATATGCAGGGAAAACACATAAAATAAAAATAAATACATCACTTCTAAATACAGAGAATAAATTCAATCAGGCCTTTGGGGTTTTTTTTAAAGATAAAATACATTTATTTTACACTGTAAACCACATTCACAATCTTACTATCTGTGTAAAGATAGAATGGTCAATCCATGTATGGGTTTTTGATACTAAAAAGGAATTGTTCATTGGCTGTCAAAGTGTATGTTTTACCAAAATACTCTTTAAGGGACTTGGGTGAGGAACTATTACCAGAAACTGGAAAACTTGAAGAATATATTTTTCCATTCTTGTTAACATAAAAATAATAATAATGTTACCTCATATGCATTTTTTCTTACTATTTTGACCAAACTAAACTTTTATTGGAGGACAGAACCCAGAAGCTCTTGATGAGAGCCACACAGAAATACTCACAGGAAGTTCCTGTTGAGATTGCTGCTCCTGGGACTCCACGAAGGGTTTTCATCTGGGTCCTGAGCAGATGGAAACAGACATTAGGAGCACATACATCCCATCCCTTCAATGACTCATCAGCAAAGCACACTCTTTGCTCCTCTGACAGGCTCAGTGCCTCTCTTCAAACCAACAACGGAAACACAAGCTATAAAGATGCATAATGTCAACATGTAACCAGGATAGCTCCATAGGTGATGGTTTTAACCAAATGAAATTATTTTTATGGAGACATTGAAAGGAAAATGCAACTTTTATACGAACAGAGATTAATCAGCTAATGGTCTGAAAGAAGGAATGGAGGTCCAACTTGACAGATACAATAGATCATTTTTATCGTTAATATATTAAGAAACACATAGGGCAATAATGAGTATGGTAGTTTGAATGTAATTGGTCCCCATAATCTCATAGGGAATGGCACTACTAGGTGATGTGGAGTTGTTGGAGTGAGTATGGCCTTGTTGGAGGAAATGTGTCACTGTGGGGGCACTTTGAGGTTCCCTATGCTCGGAATACTGCCCAGTGAGTCAGCTGACTTCCTGCTGCCTTCTGGTCAGGATGTAGCAAGCTCAGCTCCAGCACCACATTTTGCATGCCACCACGTTCCCCATCTTGATGCTGATGGTCTGAACTTTTGACACTGTAATCCAGACACCCCAATTAAATGTTTTCTTTATATAAGAGTTGCCATGGACATGATGTCTCTTCACAGCAATAGAAACCTAACTAAGTCAGAAGTTGGTACCAGAAGTGAGGTATTGATATGATAGGCTTTGACCATGTGCTTGTCTGAAGGAATTTGTACTTTGGTACTTTGGGTTTGGAAAGCAGTGGAATGCTTTAAGCATGCCTAATGGGCCATACTAGTAGGAACATGGAAGACGGTGGTGCTAAGCGTTATTTGAACTATTGGGGGGGGTTGCTGACTCAAGAGGTTTCAGGGAAGAAAAATTTCAGTATGTAGCCTAGAGATTGTTCTTGTGATACTTTGGTGAAGAAGGTGTCTGTCTTTTGCCCTTGTCTGAAGTGTCTGCCTAAGGCTAAAATGAAGAATTTTGGGTTAATACCAGTGGCAGAGGAAATTTCAAAACGACCTCATATAGACTCTGTCATGTGATTTTTAGTGGTAAGTCTAATGAAGATTTACAACGAAAAGGAGCAAGCTGAGCTGGGTAAATTACAAAATGAAAATTTTGAGGAGAAAATGAGCACCAGTTATGTGTTCAAGGAGATAAAGTGACCAAAAAATGCAATAAAGGGAGTGGTAACCAAAGGGCAAGATCCCACCCAGCTAAATTTCCAATTTGTGAAAAGGAAATAAAGAAAAGTTTAGAGCTGGGTGTGGTGGGGCATGCCTTTAATCCCAGCACTGGGAAGGCAGAGGCTGGCAGATCTCTGAGTTTGACAGCAGGCTGGTCTACAGAGCAAGTTTCAGAACAGCCAAGCTTAGGCAGTGAAAGGCAGAAAGCTGGTGTGAATGTAGTTAGATGAGGGGACCATGTTCCAGCCCCAGCAAGCAACAGAACTTGGCAGCTTCAGCCACATGATTCTGGGTTTAGAGTTAAGGGTAGAAGAAAGGAATCATGGAAGAAAGCTGCTGAGGCCAGGCATGTGTCAAGGATGTCACTGAATGGAGGCCTAGTAGGGAAGCCATTATGTGAAGCTGTGAAGCTGAAGCATGGATTGCTTTGGAGAACCCAAAATGTTAGACATGCCCAAATTGTGGGATACCTGCTGAGGAGAGCTGCTAATAGCAAGTGGAACCAGCCCAAGAGAAAGAAATGTGCTGCCCTCAGACAAGGAGATGCAGAGTTTGGGTTTGCCCAGCTGATTTTCAGTCTGGCTTTGGTCCAGTATTTCCTCACTATGGTCCCTCCCCTACATTTTGTAATGGTAATGTAAATCCTGTGTCATTATGTGTTGGGAATAATGACCTGGGTTTTTTATTTTTATTTTTGCAGGTGATTACAGTTAAGAGATTGCATGAATCTCAGAAGTAACTTTGAACTTTGGACTTGTAAACAGTGTTGAGACTGTGGTAGACTATGGGGACTTTTGAAATTGGACTAAATGCATTTTGCATTATGATATTGTTATAAGCTTATGGGGGCCAGGGAGTGGAATGTGGTAGTTTGAATATAATTGGCCCCCATAATCTAATAGAGAGTGGCACTATTAGGAGATGTGGCTTTGTTGGGGTGTGTATGGCCTTGTTGGAGAATGTGTGGGGGCAGGCTTTGACGTTCCCTATGCTCAGAATACTGCCCAGTGAGTCAGCTGACTTGCTGATGCCTTCTAGTCAAGTTGGAGCACTCTCAGCTCCAGCACGTCTGCCCTCACACCACCATGCTCCCCATCATGGTGATAATGGACTGAGCCTCTGAAACTGTAAGCAAGCCACCCAGTTCAATATTTTCTTTGTAAGAGTTGCTGTGGTCGGGATATCTCTTCACAGCAATAGAAACCTAAGATGATGAGGTACACCTCTGGCTGTGTCTGTCTGGGCATTTCCAGAGAGGATTAACTGAGGTGGAAAAACACATTCTGATGGACAGCAGCACCTTCCCATAGCTGGGCTCTCAAACTGAATTAAAAACAGAGAGACGAGAAAGCCTGCTGAGTTCCAGAATCCCCTTTCAGCTCCTTGGTCTACAGACTTGTGAGCAAGCATCCTAACTCTCTGCTACTCCCATCTCCCACTGTGCCTTCCAGACCCATGATTGACTGTATGCTCAAACTGCCAGCCTTAACTGCCTTTGGCCCCATGAGTTTCTTTTTGCTAGGAATTTGGTAACATCAGTCATTCCATCATCCTGTCATAAGTACACACCTGCTCCAGGTGATGGAGGGGCTAAAAAAAGTATCACACTGGATTTTCCTCATTCTATTTCCTGTTTATCCAAGTCATACTTCTTGAGATACAGTGTGCTCCAGACACTAGGCATTTTCCCGTGAGGTGTCTTGGTTGGATACTACCAATAATCTTATAAAGATAGCATTTTGCAATGATAGCACATGGCACTCCCAGGCTAACTGATATATACAGCCTTATCAGGGAAGATAGATTTGGGATTTGAACACAGGTCCTCCTTACAGTAATCCTCAAGTGAGCATTTTCAAATTCTTTTAGATGCCATTGCTACAAGAACACCTGAGGATATTTATACAGGCAGTGTTTATAGTGCCCAAGTTCAGTTATTCAAACCATGACCAAAATGAGTTTCCTTCCATTACTCTGTCACATGCCACATGTAAAGATGGCACTAAAACAAAGTATGTATTTGTAGGTGGTAGAAAAGCAGAATGCAAAACTAGACATCTAGGTATTAGAGAAATAGAGAGGGGCCTTTATTCTGCAATGCTTGAGTCCCCTCCCCATGTCTGAACACATTCCCACAGCCTATTTTAGATGACCAAACACACTAGAAATTCACTGTCTCCAACATCATTCATTCTATCCTTGAAAAGCTCCAATTGGTAAAAAGTATCTTCTCAAATCATCTGTGATCTGTCTTACAGTAATTCCTCCATGATTATCCTAGACCTGTCTCTGAAAAGCATCTTGGAGAAAACCCGTTTCTCTTAAATATGACAGTGTTCACATATCTGAAAAAGTGAGTTTCTTCTCTTGTGCTGGGCATCCCCAGGACAAGCAAACTGCACGAGGAGAAAGAGAAAAGACTGATGTGGAGAGGTTAGAAAACTAAGCCAGGAGTGACCTAAGCATGTAGTCCCCAAGGATTTCAATCCGAGGTCAGTAAAAACAGAGACCATTTATGGGCTGTAGCAATAAAGTTAGCAGAGACAAATGAAGTGTTACATGCACAAATTCTTAAAACACTATCAAAATATTTTTACCTCTTGAGCCTGCTTTAGGTAGTCACTGCCTTGTGTCATATGTTGTTCAATTTCCTTCATTTTCATTTTCTGATATATATAAGGTTCCAAATCTTGTTTTTAAAAGAAGAAGAAAAATTAGAAAGTGGGCTGAAATGTGTTACATTCAAATCACATTTCTCAAATAGAAAAATCTGGACACAGTACATTTATTTAAACAGATATAGTTTTCTCTATTTTTAGAAAGTTTCACCAAGTTTCATTTTTCCTTCTTTTTCCCCTTGTGATTGAAAACTGCATGTTCTATTTCTATTCTTCTATAGTTGTATTCACACTTATAATAACTTCTACTTCTCTTTTTTAAATGTATTTACTATTGTTGCAAAGCACGCACATGTGGCATTTGCACAAGGAGGTTAGAGAATAATTTTGTAGAGTCACTTCTCTCCTTCCACTTTTGCATAGATGCTGGGGATTCAACTCACGTCTCTGGATTTGCACAGTTAGCACCTCACCCACTGAGCCATCACACCAACCCTAACTTCTACTTCTCCATCAATGTCAGAAGTCAAATAATCCAAAGTAGCTTTCTATAACACACATTCAGTAGTTGTTTTTTTTTGTTTTGTTTGTTTTTTGTTTTTTTTTCATTCATTATCTCTTGCACTCGATTACCTGTACTTTAAAATATGTGTAATTTTAGTTGTAAATTAGTAATCCTTCCTTCATAAGGGCACCAAACACAAAAGTACAATAACAACAAAAGACAGAAAAAAAAATGAAGGCTATCTAAGAAGCTTAATTTTTATGCTTTTCTTAGAATGCATAATAGATGTTGTTTCATTATGTTTACACCTGGTACCTACAGAACTAAGAGTTGTAACAAATGTAAGTGACAATAATTAAGTTTTCTATGTGATTTTGTGCCATAAAAATGTATACAAGAAGTACAAAAAAATTACTGGCATATGATAAAATTATAATGAATATAGCTTCAATGACATAGCAGTATTTACAAAATATGTAAGAGTTTTTGGTTTTCTTTGCTTGCTTATTGGCTAAAATTATAATGAATATAGCTTCAATGACATAGCAGTATTTACAAAATACGTAATATATTATATAACTATGTTCCAGCCTAGACTTATGTCAGAGTTTTTGGTTTTCTTTGTTTGCTTATTGGTTTGCTTTTGTTTTTATGAAACAATGAAGTTCTCATTATTCACCCAGACTGGCCTGGCAGACACAACCTTCTTGCGTCAGCCGCCTTCATGCTTGAGTTTGATATGTGGAAAGGTACAATTTCCAATTAAGTGTGAGTTAAGGCAAGATAACTAAACTCCTGAGCCATGCTTATAAAGCAACATCATTCCCATTGAATTTCTAATATTTCTTCTAACTTTGTGTTCACTTGATTCACACTGGCTTCAGAAAGGGCTCTGTATTTTAAATAGAAAACAGGGTTCACCTACTTTGGCATTGATGTTTTAGTCTGGATAATTCTTTGTCCTGAAACCTGTATCATATGTCACAGGATGCCTCATAGTATCCCTGGCCTCTTCTCACTAGATACCAAGAGCATTCCTCTTTATTGTGACAACAAAGCGTGTCTACAGACTTTGCCCAGTGTCCCCTGGGGAGGGCAAGGGGTTGGGGTTAATGTGAAAAACCAACCCTTAGTTGAGGACCATGGGGCCATCTGAGTGAGGAAGGTTTATAAAGAAGTACAGGACCCTGCAGTAACCAGTAACTACCAGTATTTTAAATTCAGTGTCTTAAGAAATTTCAAATGTGGTGTGTGTGTGTGTGTGTGTGTGTGTCCTGATCACATGATTTCTTCTTTTTTAAAAAGAAATTCTAGTGCCCAAAGTTCAAAGCTGCATTTGTGTGTGTTTCTGCTGACAATCTGTCTCATCTCACCCTGTCTCTCATATGAGCTCATCCTCACATATTTCATTAAGTGGGTCCACATATAAATACCCCATGTGGGCCACAATAAATAAGCTTTAAAGGTTCTGAAAATTAAGCAAACTCCCCTCCCTGTAAGTCAGACTGAAGGACCCCAATTTAGGGGAAGCACTCTTTGAATATAAAAGATTACCTAAATTTTAATATTTTATTTCTGTATCCTGATAGCAATTCCTTTAAGCAAATAAAATTTTGTCTATACTAGAAGCATTACTAAGTAGCAAAGAACTGTTCCTCTTAGAGGCTTCTGCCATCTCCTTACCTCATCTCTAAACGTAAGTTCAAAGACCACCACTGGTCTAAACACCACATGCTAGACCAATGGCTCTCAATCTTCCTAATGCTGTGACACTTTAATACAATTCCTTATATTGTGGTGACTCCCAACCATAAAATTATTTTTGTTGCTACTTCATAACTGTAATTTTGCTACTTTTGTGAATCATAATGTGAATACCTGATATGCAGGATAGCTGATATGTGACCCCTATGAAAGGGTTGTTCAAAAGGTCGGGACCCATGGGTTGAGAACTACTACCCTAGCTGACCTACAGGCTTCTGCCAGATGTTGGGGTCCAGGGCTACAAAAGCACATACTTATCTGACTGAAGTTGGATACAGAGAGCCAGTTCTTGTTGTACTTTTCAGTGATGTTTGTTTCTCCTGACTCTGAATTCAATTGGTCATTTTGATAGCAGGCATTGACTGTTATCACCTGGAGAGAAAGTCACTTGTAGGAACACCATGACATTAATCTAACAATATTTTGCATTATGATAATCGAAGCACACAGTGGAAGACAGTGATTAGCCTTGGCCACAGTTTGAATTACCTGGAACTCTTACAAACCCCATCAGTCAGGCTAACAGGATACACACATCTGTGTGCATTCTCTTTGTGGTCATGATTAAGAACCAGCATATGGTGTGGGACCTGAATAAGCATCAGAATCACTTAGGGCTCAGGACCAGTCACTGCCTTGCACCCTCAGGATTTCTATTCAAAATGTCCAGGGGAAAGATGAGATTCAGATATCTAAGGTGGTCCCAGGGGAAGCTCATGATGCTGATTTGAGATCATATTTCAAAAACTACTAATATAAAGAAGGGAAACAATTTCAGTTGAAAGTACTTGCATTGCAATTCTGCCCCATCAGAACATGTGCGAACTTAGAAAATAGTTTACTATTCCCATTCTTCATTGTCTCCAAAGTATACCATGACAGTCTTACCTCTTTCCCAGGGAGAGACACAGGCAAATTGGTAAATTACAAAGCCATACATAAATGAAAATTTGAGTACTTGAGCTCAGGTGGAATTCCTAGTTGAACTGAGACCATTTGAAATATTCTAAAATAAATCTCCTAAAATGTTTATCCCATGGTATTCCAACAGGCATTTTCTGAGATAGTAGCCTTCCTTATCAAGCTAACTGTCTCCCCTAATGGATGATTTTACATAATTGTCTCTATCATGTCTCTTTGCTTCTGCTTCTTTTCTAACTTAATTTGGAGTCATGTTTCCATATGAATACTATATTTACATCATTTCCAACTTCCAACTCCTCTCATGCCTCCACCTCCTCTCAAACTCATGACTTCTTTAATTATTGTTACATATATATGCATACATATACACATATTTATACATACAACATGCTGAGTCCACGTAGTGTTGCTTGTGTATATATCTGTTAAGGGTTGACCAGTTGAATTATGTATTGAGGGCTTGTCCCTAGAGAATACTGATTGTCCCTCTCCCCAGAGTCATTATTTGCCTGAACCTCTCCATCTAGGTGTCAGTCCTAGTAAGATATGCTCCATCCACACTGGCCTAACAACTGATGTCATTGTGTAGGTCTTGTTTAGACAACAATATTTTTGAGATTTCATGAATGCAATATATAGAGGACACTATCTCACAGAAGACATCTTGGTCCTCTGGTTCTTACAACCTTTCTGCCCCCTCTTCCAAAATATTCCCTGAACCTTACGTGTTGGGGTTGTGTTGTTGATGATATCTATAGTCTGGGGCTGGGCAACCCATGGTTAGTTGTTCTCTGCATTTTTTCCAGTTATGGGTTTCTATAATGGTTTCAGTCTACTTCAGAAAACACAGAGAGAGAGAGAGAGAGAGAGAGAGAAAAAGGAAAAAACTTCTTTGCTGAGGAATGAGAAATAATGTATTTCAAGTTCTAAAAGATTGAAGATGTCAGCATAGAACTATCTGCGCCAGCAAAACTATCTGCCATAGTTGGAGAAAGAAAAACTTTCCAAGATAAAAAACATAGTAAAAGGATTCATGGCCACCAAACCAGCCCTATGAAGATACCTGGAAGCCATACTCCAGGCTGAAGACAGGAATAGGCATCCAAGAGAGAACAGAAAAAGAACAAGGTAAAATTTCTAAAACACAAAATAAGGCTAACAACACAAATAGCAAAATAGCAACAATAACAATAAAATTACATCAATTAACCTTTCAATAATAAATATAAATATCAGTGGCTTCAACTCCCATTCACCTATAGTTAGTAGAATGGATTAAAAAACAAAATCCATCTTTCTGTTTTCTACAAGGAACACAGTTTACCTTCAAAATAGGTACCATCTTAAAGTTGAAAGATGAAGATGAAAAGAAGTATTATACAGGGAAGTGATGGTGCATGCCTTTAATCCCAGAACTCAGGAGGCAGAAACAAGTGGATCTCTGTGAGTTCCAGGCCAGCCTGGGCCACAGAAGTTCAAGGACAGGCTGCAAAGCTACACAAAGAAACCCTGTCTCAAAAAAAGAAAAAAGAAAAAAGAAAGAAGTATTCCAAGCAAATGAGATCAGGAAGAAAGCAGCTGTTACTATCCTACTATCTAAAAAAATCAAAATCAAACTAAAACTAATCAGAAGAGAAATTGTAGTCAAGCGATCAATTAACTAATAAGATATTGTGATCTTAAACAAACATGCCATAAACACTGGTGAGCTCAATTTCATAAAAAGCATAGTACTGGATGTAAAAATGCAAATAAACTCTAGCTCAATTATAGTGGGTAATTTCAGTACCCTACTTTATTTAGTGATTAGGTCATTTGGAAAATAAAATAAAATAAAGGGAGAAACATCAGAGTTAAACGACAATGAACATCAAATAGACTTAACAGATATTTATAGAATATTCTACCCAAAGACCAAAGAATATACACTCTACTCAGCATCCCATGGAATCATCTCTAAAATAGACCACATGAGATACAAAACAAATCGAAACAAATTAAGAAAATTGAAATAACTCTATTCATTCTTTCTGACCACCAATGCAATAAAGATTAAAATCAACACCAAATGAATCCCCAGTAATTACACAAACTCATGAAGATTAAACAACACATTAGTGAATGATGAATGGGTCCAAGAAGAAATGAAAAAGAAATTAAAAGATTCCTGGTACTAAATGAAAATGAAAACAAAACACAAGAAAAACATCTGGGACACAGTAAAAGCTGTCCTAACAGGAAAATTTATAGCTCTAAGCACTTACATTAGGAAAATTTTAAACACACAAATAAATGACTTAGTGACACAACCTAAGAATTTGGAAAGAGAAAGAACAAACTAAACACAGTGGATGGGAAGAAATAATAAAAATCAGAGCAAAAATTAATGAAAAAGAAACAAATAAAATAATACAAAGAATCCATGAATCTAAGAGCTGGTTCTTTGAGAAAGTAAACAGGATAGACAGGCTCCTGACCCAACTAACCAAAAGGAGGAGAGGACCCAAATTAACAGAAGCGAAAATGATGGGGAAATATTACAACAGACACAAAGAAATTCAGAACATTATAAAAGAATACTCTATTAAGTAAAAAATAGAAACACAGACAAATTTCTAGATTCATGCAAACCACTTAAACCAGCAACTTAAACAGACCCATAACAAATAAAGATATTAAAACAGTAATAAAAAGCCTTCAACTGCTTCTTACTATTGTAATAAAGAGAGCTGAGTGTTTTTTCAGTTTATTCAGAAAAAGAGATCTGTGTAAATGAAAACGAAAATAAAACACATGAAGACCATGAAATGTGAATTCTTGCAAAATTAGGTAAGAGTCATTCTGACAATATATTTAAAAGATTCACTGGACTAACATGAAAACGCCAGAGTTTGTATTCATGAATGCCTGCATTCAAAAACAAATGATAAAATATTTACATGTATGAAATTGTCAGTGAATAAATGAAAATATTCTTTCTAAATACTGGGAATTCCCAAATCATTAGCCAAGTTTTTTAACTTAAACTAGAAAGAGAAAATCAAGTCAAATCCAAAGTAAATTGAACAAAGGAAACAGAATTGAATTCCAGGAAAAAAAAATCAATAAAATTGAGTTGTTTTGTTTTGTTTTTTCAAAAAAAAAAAACTTAACAAAACAGATTAAAAAAAAAACCTATATTCAGGCTGGTCATAAAACAAAGAAAGATAGTATAAATTTCAAATTTCAGAATGAAAGAGACAGTGTCACAGAGACTATTAGAATGAGGCAGGTGGCACACACCTGTCATCGCTCAGGGACACTGAGTCACATGACAGGAGCATGAGTTTCTAGCCAGCCAGGACTAAATAGTGATTCCCTGTCTCACGACAGAGCTGGAGGAGGGGGCAGGAGAAGGGGGCTATCATATACAACACTACGCCAAATAATAAGATCCACAGACCCTTGGCCCAACTAACCAAAAGAAAGGAAAAAGATGACCCAGATTACCAGGAGCAGAGATGAACAGGAAACATAAACAAAAATGGGTAAAGTCTTTAAATGCAGAAATGATCAAAGCCAACTTAAGAATCTGACAATCTAAATAGCCCTGTGACTATAACAGACACTTAATATGTAGTTAAAAACTTTCCCACACGGATGGTTTTATTGGATAATTCAACTGAATATGTAAAGTTGAAAGATTAACAACTTTTTACAAACTCACACAGAAAACTGAAGACATATACCCAATGTAGCCAATGATCATGGGATAATTCTGATATCCAAACCAAAGCTATGACAATAAAGGAACTAAAGACAATGCCCCAGGAACACAGATGCAAAAGACTAACAAAATAAATATCAAATGTAAACATGCATAGGTGGGCAAGTGGCATTTATCCCAGTAATGCTGGTTTAATGTCCAAAATATTAACTCTGATATTATAAAATCAATTAGCAGGGTAAAGAAGAAAACCATCTAAACTGGTGTGCAACAATATTGGCAAATATCATATTTATTGATGAAAGACAAAGTATTTCCACCAGGAGCAACAAAAGTAAAAACAAAGGCCGTGGGTTCTGCCTCTATTATAGTTCAAGAGACAAAAATGGGAAGATGCCTGCTTTCATCTCCTTTATTTAACACAGTACTAAGTGTTCCAGTCAGTGTAATCAGGCAAAAAAAAAGCTAATAAAATATATCCAGTTCAAAAATGAGGAATTGAAACTATACCATCAATATCATCACTAACCAAAAACATTACCAAAAAGCTTTCGAAAGCAAAATGAGTTTGGCAAAATTATGAAATATAAGATCAAGACTTTACACACATACACACATGTACAAACATGCACACAGAGGGAGATTAAAGTAACTACAATTACAATAAATTTTAAAACTTTGATATGTGTTTTCAATACTTAACTACCCATGTAATGAGAAACACTCAAGATCGGAATGCTAAAAAACACAAAGAATTTCCAAGAAAGGGTTAAAAAAAGACCTACTAGCTAGACATACATCACTTCCAATGGATCAGACACCTAGTTGTGGATAAGATGTCAATTTTCCCACAACTGGCATGCAGATTCAGAGCAGTTCTATTCCAAATCCCAGAAGGCTTTGGTGTAAAAGCTGAAATCTGAGACTAAATTTATATATAAATGCAAAGAACATAAAATAGCCAAATCATTTCTTGAAAAACGAAGGATTTCTTTTATGTATGATTTCACAACTTATAAAGTTTCGGCAGTTGAGATAGATTTAGTATTGGCATGGAGATAGACAGAAGTAGAGCCACACACACACTGTGGGTCTATATAGTCAATTAGCTTTTGACAACTGTTAAGGTAATTCAATAGAAAAAAAAAAAGTCACTCTTTTACCAAAAAAATTATAGAATTTTTCGATATTCATGTGAGAGAAAAAAATCCAATCCTTTTGTATCCCCATATACAAAATTTACCTTAAAATGGGCTCTAGAGCCAATGTAGAAACTAAAAGTATAGAAATCCTATCAGAAAACAAGTCTTAGTGATACCTTGGGTTTGGGGAATGGGGAGAAGCAAACCTTTCGCTACAAAAGGAAAAGTCAAATATTTGATCAACATTCTAAAGCTAAATGTACTTGGGACACTAGTGATGACTTGGAAGGGGTAACTTGCCAGTGGGAAAGGGGGTTTACGGAAACACCCAACCAAAGACTAGAACACACAGCCAGAGTTTACAATTTCATAGGAAGCAAACAAATCAAATTTCTGCATTCTGTAAAAGACCCAGACAGGTGAGTCCAGATACACGCATGGAAGGTCTCCCAAGAGCTTGAGGAGACACTCACTACCCTCACTGCGGTGCACACTACAGGGCCACCAGTGTGCCCAAGACAAGACTGAGCACATGCAGACAGACGTGAAAGCAGGAAAGTGATAAACTCACAAGCCATAGGTGGGCACAGAAAGCCATGTGCTGATATCGCTAGAATTACACACCACGGGATGCTGGCATTCCTCACCCTTTCCCAAGCATAAGTGATAAACTCACAAGCCATAGGTGGGCACAGAAAGCCATGTGCTGATTTACACACCACGGGATGCTGGCATTCCTCACCCTTTCCCAAGCACTTGCCAAAGAGAAATTAAAACAAATGTTCGTGGAAGGACTTGTACACAAGTGCTCACTCAGGATCTCTTGTACTAGCCCAAACAGGAAACAATGTGAAGGGCTTTCAGCTTGTGAACAGGTAAACAAGTCAAAATGTGTGCCTTCACTCCTGGTACAATGTTACTATGTGTCCAAGGGGATCCAAGGGGAGATGCCACTGACTCAGTTGCTCAAACCCTAAAGTACAATGGGAAGAGTACTTACTGGCACCTGGAAGCCCTGGGTCTTCCGCTTTTTCTTTGACAGGTTCCTGTTCTTTGTTAGGAGTTTTGCTTTGATCCATGTTGATCCAGTCTCCGAGGATCTTGAATGGCCTGGAAGGGAAATGGCGAGCATATGAATGCTGAAGGCAGTATATGGAGACAGTTTTGCATTAAAGTGGGGGCTGGGATAACAAGAAGAATGTTATTAGATAATCACAGACATCTTCAGAAGAGTAGCAATGCAAATGACCACACTTTTTAAAATGTTTGCCCCTCACCCAGCCATAAACAGATGTTTCTATCACATCTCACCCCTCAAGATTCAGGAATCATGCAGGAAAAAAGGGGGAGGTGGAAAGGAGGACTGCAATAGACAGAGATGATAGGTGACTCCAAGGAAACAGCACTTTCCAGACAAAGCAGGGTTAATGCACATATGAACCCACAGGGTCTGTGATAGCATGCACAAGAATTGCACAAGTTCATGAGAGAGAAAAAAATGCCAATAAGAAGGGGAAGTGGACACTAAGTTTCACCCCTAACCAAGGAGCTATTGCAACTGATTGCTACTGAGAGTTGGGGAAGAATCTCTTTTCCCCATTGGAGTGAGACTAGCTAACAACCAAACCCCAGGCAGGGCGAGTCCCCCCATCAGGAACAATTGGCCACCACAAACAACTCCTGTTTTGTTTCAGGTTTGGTTTGGATCTGGGTTTTTTTTGTTGTTGTTGTTTTGTTGTTTTTTTGTTTTTTGTTTTGTTTTTAGAGAGAGAGAATATGAAATTGTGGGGGTAGGGGGAGATCTGGGAGGAGTTGGGAGATGAAAGAGAATATGACCAAAATATGTTGCATGAAAAGTTTTAAAAATAAGAAATCATGGGTGGAGAAAAATATATATACGCAAATTTAAAGCATTTGTTCCTTACCATTGTTCTTCCAGATCTTCCTCAGTTTCTCCTCCTTGTGGAATCTAAAGCTATGACTCCTAACGAGAGGTCTGTCTTTGCAGAGAGGATTGATCCAAAAAGATCTTCTTGGCTGGGTCCATGATCCTGCCAGCACTGAGCGTTCACTACTACACGGGGCCAGTCTTCTTGAGTTATCCAGTCTGGACCTGCTTCCAATCCGCAGCGGGCATCCTCTACCTGGAATGGAGTCACTGTTGCAAGTGGAGGGCAAACAGGTTTTCCACTTTTTTTTAAAACTAAACACATCAGTTTCATCACTTTCCGAAAAGGCCCAGTTCACATAGCCACCATCAGCTTGCATGCTGATGGCTCCAGAAGGGAGAGAGGTCATTGACACGGGAGCAGGTATGCCACTAATCGTGAGTGGATCTTCTGCCTTGTCATGTTTGTCTGACATCTGTGTGACTGCCTCATGTTGTTCCTGGTGTTCTGCTACCAATGCCTGGTGGGAGGCAGCAGGGGTTGGCACAGGCAGGTGGATGGTGATATCATGTTGGCATACATGTTCCAGTGCCAGGCCATCTATATCAGGCTCCTCAGATGATCTGAAAAGAGGTGGAGGTTTTTCAAAAGAGAAAGGAGGTTGCATTTCAGAAGATGGTACCAGGAGAAACTGACCATACTTCGAGCATGCTTGCCTGACATGAGACATCCCAGAAGCAACTGTCCTTGATTCCATTTCTTGTTCCTCCTGGTCTTCTCTTACATGTGAGGCCTCTCTCTTACCGTGTGTAATCTCTAAGAGGGCACCTGTCTGCACTCTTGGGGGAAGCTGGCTCCTAGCAAGACTCCGCAGCAAAGAAGGGGGCATGCTATAATACTGAACTTTCTGCTTTCCACAGCTCTCCATGCTGCTTAGAACATTTGCACAGATGACGTTGGTCCAGCTGTGGGGAAGCTTTCTACAAGCAGAATGCTTTCTATTGGCCAGAAGAACCTCATCTTCTTGCAATGTGTCAACAGCTGAAAGGACCTTTAAGGTGTCCACAGTCAGGGCGGAGAGATCTTGGAGGTGTCCCACCTGACTGTCTAAGGATAGCAGGGAATCCTTTATGAAAGACACTTTTTCATTCATTTCTTTCAGTTGGAAGAACATCTCTGAAACCCTAATGGTGCAGAAAGGAAGAAAACCAATAACCATGTTAGTCTGTTGGAATTGTTTCTGCTGTCTTAGTTTGTCTTTTCCATCCATAAATGAAAGCTAAATTTTATCTTCTTCCCAAAGCTAAGCCTGCCTCCTATGTTCTTCTCTCTCAAACACAGTATACATTCTAATCCCAGATGATCTTGATTTCCCCAGTCTTCCCACTACAACTCCAGGGAGGAATACTGAAAATCTATATTCCCAGCCTTCGTATCTTTCTAACATCTCAGGACCAACTTTCCAGCTGCCTGCAGGTCACCACTGCCGATTATCTGATGGATCAGCCCATTGTTATTCACAAATGTATTCTCTTTTGCATGACCAACATTGGAAAATCTTCTATTGGACAATCCTAGTGGGAGAAGATCCTGAGACAAAACCAAAATGATTGCGACAGAAAACTCCTCCAAAATAATGTGACAGACTTTTATGATCCCCATGGAAGGCCTCACTCTCCCTGGGGAGTGGGAGGGGGGTCGTAGGGGACATGGGAGGGAGAGGGAACTGGGATTGATATGTAGAATAAGATTGTTTCTAATTTAAATATTTTTAAAAATTAGGAAAAAAAAGAAAACACCTCCAACCCCATAGTTCAAATATACTTCTCACACTCCAAATAAAGTCCATTTTAGGAGATCTATATTCATAAAAGACATACGGCAAATATTTTTAATTATTTTAAATACATGAACTCAAATTATGATAGTTAGTCACTGATTTATGTAAAAACATGGCACATTCTTCAGTAGACTCATTTGAGAGTAAACTGCAAATAAATTGAACTGAGATAACATTTCCCTTCACAGAAAGGGAAGAGAAGAATAAAATCTTATTTGCTAAATGATTATCTGTACATATCACTGTAAACATCTCCAGTGGGGATGTTTTGTTTCAAAAAAAAAAAAAAAAAAACATATGTTGACATCTTAACCCAAGACCCTTATTTGGTTCTTTACGCAAGTAATCAAGTTAAAATTATGTCATTTGCTAAACCTTAGTTGAAGACAAGCAGCATAAATTTGAAAAGTCCTTTTGAGTCCATATACTGTTATGTGTGTACATGCTTTCAGAGGCTGACCATTCAGTCTTGTGTGCTCTTCCCTGGGGAAGACTCTTTCTCCTGCTGTCAGCCTTCCTTAGTTGCCTGTAGCTCTTTATCTCAGGTTGAGGCCTCCTGGGCTTTCCCTTTCCATATTACCATGTCTATTAAAGAAAAAGAGGGCACAAGTTTGAAAGAGAGGATGGGGCAAGGTACATGAGAGGAGGTGGAGGGAGGAAAAGGAATGGGGAAATTATGTAATTGCATTATCTCAAAACCAACATATATAGATTAGATATATCCCCAAAAGGTTCAAAAAGGAAGAAGAAAATGGAAAATCTCAGCACAGACAAACACAGAAAGAAGAAGATGTGAAGACATGTTAAGAGAAGATGGCATTGGCTCCAGAACTGTGCAAGAAAGAATCAAGAACTACTACCACTCACAAGCAACCAGAAGCTAGTAGGGCAAGGAAGGACTCTTTCCTAGGGACATAAGAGAGTGTGTGGTCCTGTGACATCTTGATTTTGAACACCTAGCTTCCAGACACATGACACAGTCAATTGTTTGCTGATATGAAACGCTGAGTCTGGGCTACTCTCCCTACAGTAATGCTAAGAAAGTAATGCAGTTACCTAAGCATAGAGAGATGTGGTGATTAATTTTAATCATCTGCTTGATGTGTAATTCAGAAATACCTGCACAGAGAGTTTCACTGAGGGATTATCTAGATCAGGTTGTCCTGTGGACACATCTGTTGGGGATAATCTTGATTATGTTATTAGAGGTGGGAAGAGTCACCCAGTATAGAGGGCATCTTTCCCTACTCAGGGATCCTGGAGTAAGAGTGGAGAGAGCAAACTAAGCACCAGCCTGCATGCACTTAGTCTCTGCTCTCTGCTCTCGACTATGGATATGACTACTTCAAGGTCCTTCTGCCCTGCCATCACTTGACTGCCCGATAGAATAGTGAACCAAATCATCCCATTCTTCCTTAAATTGCTCTTGTCTAGAACAACAGCAAGAAAAGAAATTACAAAAGGCATCAGGTTTCATTACTTAACATAAAAGCATAATACAAAACTTCAGAAACAAAAACATATCGACTCTTGGGCTGGAAAGATGACTTAGCAATTAAGAGCACTGGCTGCTGTTCTAGAGGACCTGGATTCAATTCCCAGCACTCACATGGCAGCTCACAGTCGTTAACTCCAATTCCAGGGGATCTGACACCCTCACATGCAAGCAAAATACCAATGCACACAAAATAAAAACAAGTAAATCATTTAAAAAATATTGTCTCTCCTCTCTTATGATGGCTAAAGTTATGTTTTAAGTTTAAATTACTGTGCTTAAGAGATCTATAAAACAAAAATGCCTATAACCTGCAAGTTTTGCCCAAAGACAGATAACTTCCTTGAATGCTGGTGGGGACTATGGTTCACATAAGATAACAAGCCAGATGTTTTCACTTCTGTAAACAAGCTTGGTTGCCCCAACTGTTCAGGATGTGCTTGCTTACATGCTTACATGTAGGCAGAAGTTATATAGGCACAAAGTACACCAGGATGTATGCTTGTCCTTGATTGGATGGTGGGTAATATGTAGCCTAGTGGGTTTTGCTTTTATAAGCCTCTGACTAATGTAATTCTGTGTCATACTCTGGGAATCTCTGGTATGAACTTTGCCAGTGTCCATTGTTCTGGCCAGTATTTAATAAATACTTCAAATTTGGCTCAAAAATTGTGGTAGTAGTCTTATTCTCACCTGGTGGGATTAACATCTTCCGGATGCCCCCAGGGAGATTAGACCACCCACCCAAATTCCAAAGTTGGACTTCTTCACTCCAGGATTGCAAGGTTGAAGGGCGGCCTCGTGAGGGGCATTGAAGCATTCCATGGCTCTGAGGCATGCTTTTGGTTTCACAGACTGTCAGAGTGAACTGCTGTGCTGAGAAAAGCAAGCATCTAAAGAGGCCTTCCCTGCTAAGTCATAAATTTTCTATGACATCTGGTTCTGTTGGGATCCCAATCAGGAATGTAGAAGACTTCAAGAAAAACCAATACCCTGCTATCCAGGGCAAAAGGCAAGACATCATACCATCTGCCTAGTTCTAATTGTTTGGATACTGGGAGCCAAAATGGAAATCAGTCAGATGCAGTTAAATGTAGTTTTGTCTACCAGTTTTGTGTATGTGGATGGTTTCTAGTGTGTCTTTAAGTTTTGTTGCAAATGTAGGAACCCAGACAGAAATGGGTCAGGCTCAGTTGAATGTGTGAGTGATGGTTGCACCACATGTTTTGTTTCTGAATGGTCTCCTTTGAGTGCATAGGCTTTCTCTGTTCTGTGTTTATTGGTTTTGTTTCTGTTGTTTCTGCCACTGCTGCTGGCCACCAGCTACCACTACCACACTTGCCATGGTTGCTTTGATGGCTAGTTTCAGAATGTCTTATCTCTGAGCTTTTGTTCCCTGGATTTGGTCTAGCATGTGCCACCGCACCCAATGAAATCAAGTATACTTAATAGATGGCACTCAAATCTTTTCAGAGATCTCCTGAATATGGCAACTTAAATATTTGATGGAAAAAGCTTCCTGAGATAGACAAATATACCAGATCCTAGAAGCAACCCTAAGTTCTCCAATGAAAACCAAAACAAACTGTGCATAGACCCGGATTGTGGTGACGTTAACCACTAGGGAAAACTTCCTCGTGCCTCACCAGCTGCCAGTGCCCTGCACAAACTGTGAACACTGTTGGATTGACTGTCCTACCTAAGTCAAGGTAGGACAATTTTTCCAAGTTCCTCATCCACAGGAAATTCTCTCAGACCTTCTGAGTCTGGCAGGCAAAGGCCTGTGCTATCCTGTGCAGCGGCTGAAGATGTAATGCTGTCCTGTGTAACAGCCAAAGATCTACAATCTCTGCCCAGCAATGAAGTCATGGAGACCATAGGAGCCTCCCAGGTAGCTGGTGCATCTCCGTCATTTTAGTCACTGCAAAGGCCATTTGGTTTATACTTCCTGCTATAATTTATCCTTCTCAGATCTTCGATGGTGTTGATGGCTAACAGTAGCTTTGTCAGTCTGGCAGCAGCAGACAACCAGCTCCTTCCCCAAGACTGCAAGCTACCTTCTTAGTTCATTTCATATGTAACACTCAAGCCTTCATTTTTCTAGAGCTCCTAGATCTCCTGCTGAGAAAGGCAGACAGGTTTGCCTTGCTAATAGGTTTCATATTCAAAGAATAAAAAGGTTTCAGGTATAACTTTTTACTATTCCTTATTTTTAATAAAAAGAAAAAACTTGTTTGGCAATGACTGCTCTCAGTAACTAACCATTTGTGCCTTGTGGTAAATGATTAGTTGGAAATAAAAAGGGTTTAAGATGTGTAAATGCAAGTTATAAAAGTCTAAGGACGTTATTTAAGGTATGTGAAAAATGAAAAATGTTTCAGATTTCTTTCCCTCTATGCTATTGTTAGGCAAAGGTTTCAAAGGTTCAAAGTTTTAACGTTGATCAATGGAGTTATGATAAGATGGTAAAGTACTGACTACATCATAATCACAAGCTCAAGAATTTAAATTTCCCGTGGTTGTCTTCTAAGTACAGACTTAAAGGTCCTTCTCATGGGGTTGAAAACATCTCTGTCCAGCCTATACATCCAGCCCTCTGGAAAGAGAAAATGATACTCATGGTTTTTAGTTCAAAGCCATAGCTTTTGCTGTGACTCAAAGGGATGAGGCTACTCCAGCTGTTTTACAGACACCTGTTAAAATGTTGCAACGCAGATTTCAGTGCAGATTACAAATAATGACAATGTTAATATATCTAAAACTTTTATCTCTGTTGTAAACAAAAAAAAAGGGAGTCATAAGACTTGGATCCATGACTCACAAAGTCTTAGGGCTCCTCCCCTCCCCCGACTGCCAGGACCGTGAAACTGGAAGTTCCAAATATAAGATTCCCTTTAAGTTTCTTAACTTTAACTTCTACCCTCAATCTATATCTGTCCCAGCAGATTTCCACTTGGCTAAGAGACATCATCCAGGAATTAGCTGAGAACTACAAACTGCTCCAAAAGTGATCTACAATAAGGAAAACCCTGGACTTGCTAAAAGCTGATGTGAACCAGTCCAACCAATGTGATTGTTCCCTGTGTCTTAAGCTGGTCAGTTAACCATATGCTTCCGATGAAGACCCCCTTTGCTCTAATCCCCTCTTGGCCTTTGACTGGCATTCCAGCCTTTCTGGACCCTGACAACAATGTGCTAATTTCAACAGGAAGTAGTTACAGAAGAAAGTACATCACCCA